AGCAAACAATACAAAACTAACTACAACATATTATGTCTTTCACTAACCTGTGTGTAATAGATTTTAAGAGTTTGAATTAACATCCAAACGTCCTGTTTTTTGTTTTTTTTGGGGGGGAAACACTACTATTGAACTCTACTAGGTAGTTTTTTCATTCTTTCTCATGTAATCCTGGCGATAAACAGGACAAAAGAATTAGAAGTATCAACCTTTTCAAGCGCATTGTCTACCTGCAATGAGCAACCTTTTGGCCCAGGATTAAGTAGGAAACATGTTTTGAGTCTCCTTTACTAAGATGGACAGATACAGAGGCAATGTCTCTTTGAGAGAAGGAGGATGTTTCAGACACCCCTCATCCATTACAAATGCAAAAAGAAGTTCTGTGTATTACTTCAGAATTTTCTAATCTAATCAAGTCTTGCTAATATCATGCTAGTCACACCTATTGCATTTTTCTTGCCCCTTAGCGTGAGTGCATCTCCGTCCACGTTGGCCAGGCTGGTGTTCAGATGGGAAACACCTGCTGGGAGCTATACTGTCTGGAGCATGGCATCCAGCCTGATGGTCAGATGCCAAGCCAGAAGCCTGTTGGTGGCCATGATGACTCCTTCACCACCTTCTTCAGTGAGACTGGAGCTGGCAAATATGTACCTCGTGCCATCTTTGTGGACCTGGAGCCAACTGTCATTGGTAAATTACATCTTATCTTGAACTGGAAACACAGCAGAACAAATTTTTACCCCAGATTTGTCCTCAGGGACCAATTAAGTACATCTATCTATCTATCTATCTATCTATCTATCTATCTATCAGATGGGGCTGTTAAGACACAGGCAGATATTTAATAGCACATACAAAAAAATTGTGGAATAAGATAATCTTCATATAATAACTGCATATTTGTCAGTCAAAATCCTATATATTCAGGTCACATTTACACCCAGTGTGCAGAAAACTAAATTTGCTTTATGGGAACCTCTTGTTTCAGATGAGGTCCGTACTGGTGCCTACCGCCAACTCTTCCACCCAGAGCAGCTAATCTCTGGTAAAGAGGATGCAGCTAATAACTACGCTCGTGGTCACTACACCATAGGCAAGGAGATCATTGACTCTGTCCTTGATCGCATCCGCAAACTGGTAAGACAGTCAAGAATTTAGATTGCTCATAGCTAAACTTTTTGTATATTAGTAGTCATCAGTAGTCATGTTGGCATTTTGGATTAACTTTTCCTTATCTCCATTCGCGGGAAGCTAATAGTAATGATAGTAAGTCAAGGCAACTGGACTGTCTTCGCTCATGCAAGTGCCTCTGTTCATTTTCCTGAAAGTTTAAATAAGTAGCAAGACATCCTTAATAGTCCATCTTGATGAATCCACGTAACCTTAAAAATTAAGTCAATAGATGAAATTGTTCAGGGGTTTCTTATGGGAGTAATTTCTGAAAATAGACATCTCCCAGCCTAGCATCAATATTAATATTATAATATTACATCAGTATTACATCTGGTCACTTTTTCTGTACAGGCTGACCAGTGCACAGGTCTTCAGGGCTTCCTGGTCTTCCACAGCTTTGGAGGAGGCACTGGCTCTGGCTTCACTTCCCTCCTGATGGAACGTCTCTCTGTAGACTTCGGCAAAAAATCCAAGCTGGAATTTGCCATTTACCCGGCCCCGCAGGTGTCCACGGCTGTGGTGGAGCCATACAACTCCATCCTGACCACCCACACAACACTTGAGCACTCTGACTGCGCCTTCATGGTGGATAACGAGGCCATCTACGACATTTGCCGTAGGAACCTGGATATCGAGCGCCCATCTTACACCAATCTCAACCGGCTCATAAGCCAGATTGTGTCCTCAATCACTGCTTCTCTGCGTTTTGATGGTGCCTTAAACGTCGACTTGACCGAGTTCCAGACCAACCTGGTCCCATATCCCAGAATCCACTTTCCTCTCGCTACCTATGCACCAGTGATTTCTGCTGAGAAAGCTTACCACGAGCAGCTCTCTGTGGCCGAGATCACCAACTCCTGCTTCGAACCAAGCAACCAGATGGTTAAGTGTGACCCAAGGCATGGCAAATACATGGCCTGTTGCCTTCTTTATCGTGGTGATGTGGTGCCCAAGGATGTCAACGTGGCCATTGCAGCTATTAAGACCAAGAGAAGCATCCAGTTTGTGGACTGGTGTCCCACTGGATTCAAGGTGGGAATCAACTACCAGCCACCCACTGTGGTGCCTGGAGGCGACTTGGCCAAGGTCCAAAGGGCTGTGTGCATGTTGAGCAACACTACGGCCATTGCTGAGGCTTGGGCTCGTCTGGACCACAAGTTTGACTTGATGTACGCCAAGCGAGCCTTTGTGCACTGGTACGTTGGTGAAGGCATGGAAGAGGGTGAGTTCTCTGAGGCCAGAGAAGACATGGCTGCCCTGGAGAAGGACTACGAAGAGGTTGGGATCGACTCTTTTGAGGAAGAGGAAGAAGGAGAAGAATACTAAGATGGAATGGACGGCAGGAAAGCCACCAACTTCCTGCCATCACTACCAAAGAAAGCACAGTGCGCAATCTTGTGGTATTGTCATAAAATATAAAAATACAGCTACTAAATGTTGTTTGTCATTTGGTCAAATTTTTTTTTTTTACCATAAGTGTCCAAATAACTATGAATTAAAATAAAGCTGTAAATTGATTGTTTCATTGGCTGTTTTTATTTTATATACTCTTAAGCATATAGTATTATATCCCAGACATCTTCAATCATCATTCTAGTTAGGCATGGTAATGTGCACTGACTATGTGCAAATAGTTAATATTAGCATTAGCCTCTCTAAAAAGCACTTAAATATGTCTTTGTTCACCATAAAATTTTGCTAACAAGTCCTATTATTGTTGGCTAGATCTGCCAATGCTTATAATGTTTGCAAGTCCATTTACTAACATGCTAACTTTGCAAACTATACTAAGGTATTCAACAAAATCTTTCACTAAGGGGTGATAGCAATATCAAAACCTGCTTTACATTTATGGTTTCTGGTGCTAAATGTCATATTTCTCAGCATCATGTTTAAATATTTTGTAAAACAAAACAAAAAAGTAAAGGAAAAAAAAATAAAAAGGAGATTAGTAATGATTTTCCTTTTTAAAATAAAAAAATCCTATTTTAAACCAAAATAATAAATACTGTACAAGTTGCACAAAAGTGTCAGAACAAAATGTGCATTGTCTAAATCTCTAAAGAAATTATCCATAAATCAATGAAGTTGAATGAAAGTGACTTTTCTGAGTGTTTACAGAGCCAACCATTAGGATTAATTGGTGGTGCAGGGGGTAGCATTGCCGCCTCATAGTTTCATGATCCCTACTTTGATGAGGGGGGTTTGTGTGTGTGTGAGTGTGTGTGGAGTTTCTTCTGCTTGGGTTTCCTCCAGGTTCTCCAGTTTCCTCCCACACCCTAAAATATATGCGGGTAGGTGGATTGGCTACGCTAGGTTTGAATGATTGTGCGCATGCATGGTGCGCTGCAGTGGACTGGGATACCATCCAAGGTGTATTCCCACCTCACACACAGTGTTCCCGGGATAGACTCCACCCAGATCCATCACCATCCTGACCAGGACAAATGCTGCATTCGACTTATATAGGAAATGGGAAGTTTGAGCCAGGAATTACGTCATTTTATTCGAGATACAAAGTAGGAAAAAAACATGTTTGTCTTTTGTTAGCAACAAGCTAGCCAGCTAACTGTGATGAGTGATGTATGCAGTATTTTGCTTCTCAAAACATCAAACTGTAGTCAGTGTGTTTACTGGTGATGCTGTGAGCAGCCATGTTAATTTGACGTCACTTGCTGAACTCGGAGGAAGACCATCCTGACGTCCCGAGTAGGAATTCCAAGTTGAGGGTCGCGTTTTCTTTATTTTTCCTGGTCAGAGGTTGGGAATTACGAGTTACAACCTCTAGTCGAATGCAGCAGAAGTGCTTACTGGAAATG